TGTAAGTACCAATTATAAAACAGGTTCCTGGGGCTCCCTGAAACTGAAATGCACTGTGTCGATCGTGTTCAAACATATATCGCATAACTGCTGTCACAGTAGTGATCAGTGGGAGGTGAACTTTAGCAGCTCGAGCCATTTCAACAATTAAATTGCTAGAGAGCGTCGGGTTCTCTGGGTTTCTGGGGATCAGACTCTGTCTAATCCATCTAGTTTCCTTGGCAAAGGTTCCAAAAACATGTTGTTCTAGAACTCAATGAACTTGCACACCAGAAATTTGTGCTCTTAAATGATATGAATTTAAATTTCAAATTTAGAAACAATGAAATATACTGGACACACTAACCAATATACAGGAGTGTACAACAACTAAAATTGGAAACGTCAAACATGGTCCATGAAATCCGTTGTCAGTTTACGGCCAAGAGCAAAAGACTAATATTGAAACTACAGTAGTTTTTAGCATTCAATGAGTAGAAAGCTAAAACCTTTTAGTTGGCCGACCATAATAGTTAAATAAGCAAGCTTGGAGTTTAGTATTGAATGGTTTATGCACCTGTTCACAGGAACAAAAGCAAATTTAGCGGTAAATACATCTTATATTCATAATCAAGACAGTAAAAATACAACTAAAACAGAAACCAATATGACCAATAAAACTAAAAACCAGCATCAAAGGTTGTCTGCAAGAAAGGAAAGAGGGGAGACCATTAAAAAGGACACTAACCCTAACATGGGGCTAAAAGCCAACACCAAGAATCTGCAATCCATAGAGACACATGAACTATTGATTCATACATCAAAGTCATCCCACAAAGATCTCTTTCAGCCTGTTGCAATCAAACAGAGGCGATGACTTCATTCTTTTCTTTCAGATGTTCATGGCACTACCTACACAGAAAAATCCTATCATAGTTCAGCTAATAATTAATTAGCCATGTATAGACAAAGCGAAACCCACTTCACATGAAAAGGATCAGAAAAGCTGCAACTTCTATTTGAATGTCCATTTTGTTGGGAATGTTTCACCAAATGAAAACTTAAGGCTTTCTTGATATTTCCCTGTCTGTGATCTCCACTATTCATCACTAAGGGGCCAAGAACCGAATCATGTACCCTGTGAACACAAACACCAAATGCAGTAACACAATATAAGTAAAATAAATCAGCTGGAGTTTTAAGCAATTGAAGTAACGGTAAGTGCAAGGTGTCCAAGTTTCCCAAATGGCTAAGACTGGGATAAGGTTTTACTTTATGAAGAGCAAACCAAAGTATTGAATATTGCAAGATATATCTGACATCTATAGGAAGTTCCTAAATAATAAAACTAATAAAGCATGGAACAAAAGACAAAGGCATTTAAAAAAAATGATTACTCGTTTCTATAAGTTCCCCTAATCCTTGTTCATTCTGCGCTCACCCCTATCTGAAATTGTGGTTGACCCGTGGAATCATAGAACTTTCAAGTATCCATTTACAAACCTTAGTGTTCAGACGGCATGGTCCTTAATTATGATAAAGGGAATGGTAAAATTCTCATTAGCCCTTTGAGTCAACTCCTCTGCTGCAATAAGGAGAATGGAGACAGTAAAGTTTCCGGAAAAAGAAAACAAAAGCATAAGGCTTGCGGCTATTGAATTATATGAACCAAAAGCAATACATAATCTAAATCCACCAAAGATGCAAAAATCAGCAACAGAGGCAGTACCTTGTCCCTCAGCGCCTGAACTATGTATGAATGCCTATCAAATAGCTTGACAGGTTCATACTATTAGAAGATATCAAATCAGCAACAGTAGTCCTGTTAACAAATTCGTTATGATAGAAATGGATAGTTGGATCAAGTAAACAGTAAACAATTTTGAAATGCAGTTAAGCTAAGTAAAGCACATAACACAACACTAAATAAAAGCAACATAAGAATGACAATGTAACCTCACTAAATGACATGATAGAAAAAGGGCCAGATGAGAATTATATTTCTTAACCCCAAAAGATAAATCGATTATATACTTATCAGATGTTTATATTAGGTGAATAACAACTACTTCACAGTGTTTGCATTTTCATCGCACTCAAGCTGAAAAAGTGATTGTGAAAGGACTCTATGGTTACAACCTATCAAATGTAACACTTCCTTCTCCTCCCTTGTTCCCCTCCACAAAAGGAGAATAGCAGTATAGATTCGTATTTCTGCAACTTGTTTCCCTGTACGCAACCTCGAGGGGCATGGCAATAAAGCTCTATACAGCCGAATCCTACACCATTTCAAACAAAAACTGAATGAAATTTGCAAGTGGAAGCCCCTGAAAACTCATATCCTGACCATTTGCAGCAACCACGCCATTCAACTCTAAACTACTTCTAAGTATTTATAACTTGACCATGAATGTAAGAAACAACTAACAAAACAACCAGCAACGTTGAACCAATTAATCACCTCTATCCAAGGGCTGAAACACTTACAAAATTTCAAAGGATGCTGCAATGGGAACACTAAAGTTGTAGTTTACCTCGTTTTCATGCAATGAATATGAGCACTTCCCTGACAATTGCAATAGATGCAAAAGATCAGATTATACAGTCACTTGGAAGAAGATTGCGATCTAATGAAATTAACAATTTTGCAAGTAAAGGGAAATGATAAAGCATTCAACATCTTTTTCCTTAATATTTATGGCATAAACACTTCAGAATTGCAAAAGCCATGGTATACAAACTTCTGTATCCATGAGAAGTAAATCAATACTAACCTTGTAACCTAACCACAAAGCACTAATGAAAATCAAGAGTCTGGAAAGTGAACTTACACAGAAAGAGAGGCAAAATAGGGGAGGTTGCAGGCGCTCCCCAATGTGATTCTCCTCTGGATTGGTGTCGTCTCTGACTACAGTCCACAAGCAAGAAATGAACAGTTAACAGCAAGCAAGAACACATAGAGGTGATAAAGTGGCAGCCAGGGTACAGAGGATCTCAAAAGCAAGAAACTAAAACACAACACTTGATTGGTGGTAGGTTGGGTGAATAAAGAGAAGAGCATAGAGAACGAAGAAGTCACCCCAATCCCTATTCTTCACATCGTCGTCACCTTCCGCATTAGAGTTGCTGGTCTCTAGCTGGCGGCCGTGTCTGTCCCTACGTTGTCTTTGGCTTTGCCGGCCTCCGCTGAGATCAATTATCTCTCGTGTCTTCCTCCATGAAGAACTCCACCGAGGCAAAGGTCTCCTCCTCAACTTCTTTCTTTGCGCCAACGATTCTCTTATTCTTCTTCACTAGCGGGGGAGATAGAGATTGGGACCTGAGTTCAAAGCACCCTCATGTCTCCTCCATGAAGAACCCTACCAGTTCCATGGTCTTCTACTCAACATCCTTCCTCTGCTCCAACAATGCCCTTCTTCTTCAATAGTGAGATCGAGAGCTGGGATTGGGCCAAAAAGGGAGAGAAGCAGAAGGATCTAGGATTCGCCCAAAGCGCAATCGCACAGCAGGATTCAAGGATCTCTCCTCTCTGATTCCTATGTTGTGGTTGGATTTTGTGAGCAGTAGAGGGCCAGGCAAGGGGGTGTAAAGGGGAGGAAGCCTCTTCTCCCGGTGGTCAAGGCCAAGTGACTGGTAAAAAGGGGTCTCCAATGTTGGAGATGTCTTGCATCGTGCAAGAAAGAGAAGACATAGTACAGTGAAGGAGCAGTTTGCGTATGGAAAAGCGGAGGAGCAAAAAGTGAGTGGCCATTGCAAAGGTACAAAGAAGTATCCGACGGACAAAGGCTAGATCCAAAGGTCGGCGGCAGCGAGTGGGGTAATAGGGATTGGGATATTCTTGTGTGAGAGAAGCAGTGGGCGACGTGGGCGAATGAAGAGAAACCGAGTGGAAGAAGGCCAGTCGCAGAGGAGAGAGTGGGAGCCACTAATGAACATTGATTGTAACCAAGGCTTTTATATATTAATTTTGTGAGCAGTGGAGGGCCAGGCAAGGGGGTGTAAAGGGGAGGAAGCCTCTCCTCCCGGTGATCAAGGCCAAGTGACTGGTAAAAAGGGGTCTCCAATGTTGGAGATGGCTTGCATCGTGCAAGAAAGAGAAGACAAAGTACAGTGAAGGAGCAGTTTGCGTATGGAAAGGAGGAGGAGCAAAAAGTGAGTGGCCATTGCAAAGGTACAGAGAAGTATCTGACGGACAAAGGCTAGATCCAAAGGTCGGCGGCAACAAGTGGGGTAATAGGGATTGGGAGATTCTTGTGTGAGAGAAGCAGTGGGCGACGTGGGCGAATGAAGAGAAACCGAGTGGAAGAAGGCCAGTTGCAGAGGAGAGAGTGGGAGCCACTAATGAACAGTGATTGTAACCAAGGCTTTTATATATTAATAAGACTTCTCCTGAGCTCAAAACAAAAGAGTTCATGAGTTGAGCTCAATAGGTCGACTAGTCGAACCGACTCACAAAATGAGTAAGACTCTTTCGAATTCTCATCTCTCAATCACTAATATATTTAAATCCGAAATAGTCCACGTTTCCACAATTTTATAATCCGACCAGAGACACCCAAGATCACGGAGTAATAATCAGAGGTGCCAATTGAAGTTATGGCGGACTAGTTGTGCACAATTTCTCGAGATCTCCAAAGATGAGTCCCAAAGCAAATTGTCTTGTGCAGTGGTCAGAATTTTGCAGCGCTTGAGCGGCGAGAAATATGCATAATTGACCACTCGCTTGTTCGCAAGCTCATGAAGAGCAGATCTAGCTTCTAGTCTACGGCTCTACGAATGTCCCATATGCGAGCTTTAAGGTGAATCACTTTACTTGGATTAAGGTTGTTACTATTGCCAGACACTAATTACAACTTGTATAAGTACTAGTTTACCGGCCCATTAAGTAATATATGAACCAAACGTGCCAAAACAAATATTGACCTTGAATTGGTGGGGTGCGCCAGGCCCATGCAGTAGTGTCACGCAAGGGCGACAAGCGAGAAGGCCCATGAAGCAAGCTTCAGTAGTGGGTCTCTCCCCCTATAAAAATTAATTTAATATCGTGTGGGCCATTGGCCCACATATCAGATATTAAACTGATAAGAACAGATACTACACTTGATCTTAGCCAAAAGGCCGAGAAAGGTATGAATTCTTCAGTCTACAGAACTCGTCATTTATTGGAAGGCCTTTGCTCTTACATGCTGGTTTGAACGATGTGGTACAAAGAACCATCAGAAAGCTCAAACGCAGCTGAAGTGTCAACCATGTCCAACTTCCATTGCTTCTTCTTGGCCAACTTTTTAGCTTCTACCAAGATCGCTTGTGGATCAATAGAGCGTGATCGAATCTCTGACAAGCCATTTAGTTCATCCCCACCAGCATAAGAACCCCTTGAAGCCTGCTAAAAGTTCTGTCGAGCTGATGCAATAACAACAATGAATCAACATTAAACACGATTGCAGTGCTAATAGATGGGCAAGATCCACTAAATTGGCCACTCTTGCAAAAATTAAGACGAGCCACCACAACTTTCAGTGCATTGAACGTGGGATCACTGATTTCTGACATCCCTTTCAGCTTCGACGAACCAACAAGGGCATGATTCTCTATACACAAAGATATAGCTTGAAACACGTACACTACTGGCAGAAGGATTTAAGTTGTGGCCGTTGCAGTGTCAATCAATATGATACTCAAGTCGTGTGCAGCCTAAGCTACGGGCTCGTCAAATCTCACCATCGAATATAAACAATGCCATCTACTTTGCTGCCCTTTATGGATCATAATTGCATCCCCAGTTTTGTCATTTGTGGTTGGAACGTGTATCCACCCTGATTACAATAGTAACAGATGCTTTGGGACTCAAACGTGATTTGCATTGATGTATATTGAGGGGATTTATACAAGATACAGAGAAGTTATACGGAAAGATAAATACAAGGGGAAATACAATTGTACAACTGTAAATACATGGATAAATATAGAAGGAATAAAATCATTTATTCTGTTACTCTAATACGCCCCCGCAAGCTGGACGTAGTGTCAACGACGCCAAGTTTGGATCAAAGAAGAAATCGGGTCACCGGGAGAGTCTTGGTGAGGGAGTCAGCTAGTTGCTGAGCAGTGGAAACGTAGCGAACACGAACGCGACCATCTTGAACAAGCTGGTGAACGAAGTGATAATCAAGGGCTAGGTGCTTCATGCGGGAGTGAAACACCGATTTGAACTGAAGTACGTAGCCCCAAGATTGTCAGAGTAGAGAATAGGAGAAGCAGAAAGTGGTTGACGAAGTTCCTTAAGCAAGTTTTGCACCCATTCAAGCTCGGCGGTTGCATGAGCGATGGCTCGATACTCGGCCTCCGTGCTAGAACGGCCAACTGTGGCGCTGCTTCTGTAACCGCCAGGAGATAAGTGTCGAGCCAAAATAAAGAAGATATGCTGAAGTAGATGTCTGGTCATCAAGATTGTCGGCCCAGTCTGAGTCGGCAAATGCAGAGAGAGTGAGAGGGGTGGTGGAGCGCCAGATTTGCAAGCCGTAAGTAAGAGTCCCGCGAACATAACGAAGAAGCCTCTTTACACATTGCCAATGATACGTCATTGGAGCATGCATAAATTGCGATAACTTGATGAAAGAGAAAGCAATATTCGGCCGAGTATAAACAAGATATTGTAGCGCTCCAAGCGTTTGTCGATACTGAGTGGCATCTGCAGGGAGTGCCATCACGAAGACTAATATGCGTAGAAGACGCCATGGGAGTAGAGACAGAATGCGCGTCCATCATTTGGAAGCGAGTTAGCACATCAGTCATGTACTTCTATTGTGACAGGAGATAACATGTGGGTGTGGGAATTACTTCAATCCCAAGAAAGTAATTAACATGGCCCAATTCCTTGAGCGAGAAACGATGAGAGAGTACCTCTTGAATGGTGCGAATAGTCTGCAGATCATTACATGTGAGTAGCAAATCATCAACATATATGAGGAAATAGATCGTGACCTGATTACGATGGAGCACAAATAAGGAAGCATCAGAGGTAGTCTTGACAAAGCCATTCTCCTCAAGAAACGAGCTTAGCGCAAGATACCATGCTCGGGGTGCTTGGCGAAGGCCATATATGGCACGCCGTAACCTGCAAACCATGTTAGGAGATGTAGTAAAACCCGGTGATTTCTCCATATAAATTTCCTCCTGCAAAGAACCTTGCAAGACCCCATTATTAACATCATATTGATAGATAGGCCAATCCTGAGAGAGGGCTATTGTAAAAACTGTGCGCACTGTGACTAGTTTCACCACAGGGCAGAATGTGTCATGAAAATCAAGACCAGTTCGTCGATGAAACCCCTTGGCAACCAATCGTGTCTTGAAAATCAATAGACTCGTCAGGCAAAACTTGACCCAAAACACCCAGCGATTGTCGATGACATTGTAGTGAGGTAAGCGCGGAACAAGATATGTGTAATTTTGAAGAAGCGCCTTGTGTTCTGTCTGTAGGGCGTCATTCCATTCAGGATACCGAAGAACCTCACGCATAGATGTGGGTTGAAGTGGCAGAGGCCCACGTGCAGCTTGGGTGGCGAAGAGTCGCATTGGCTTGAAAATGTTGCGTTGGGAGCGAGTGGACATGCTGTGTGAGAGGACCAGTGGAGGAGGCCCAGCAGGCCGCGGTCCAGCAGGTGGTGGCCTAGGAGGAGAAGCAGCGGGCCCGGAACCCGGCCTAGCTGAATTGTCGGAGGAGGAATCGACGGACGTTGGGTGTCCAATAACCACGAAGGTACTGTGGGGGTGGCGGTGGCTGGGGCCGAGGAAGGGGAATACGTGTGATGGGAGGTTGGGTGTCCAATAACCACGAAGCAATTGTGAGTTCGACACTTGGAGGAGAAGAATCACTTGGAAAAGAATCCTCCACAAAAAAACATTGTGAGAGATAAAAATGTGGCAAGTGAGGGGATCAAAACATTTATAGGCACTTTGTTGGGGTGAGTAACCAAGAAAAAGACAAGGATGAGAACAGGGTTCAAGTTTGTTGGCGGAATACGGACGAAGCTAGGGGTAACAACGACAACCAAAAATACGAAGTTTATGATAATTAGGAGGGAGATTGAAGAGAACAATGTAGGGGATTTTACCACGAAGTGCGAAAGAGGGAAGATGATTAATGAGGTAAACGGCAATGGAAAAGACAAAGGACCAAAATGTAGAGGGAAGATGTGCCTGGTGGAGAAGAGTGATACTAGTCTCGACGATGTGTCGATATTTTCGCTCAGCAAGCCCGTTGTGTTCAGGTGTATGAGGCGGTGTAAGAAGGTGACTAATCCCATGATCTGCAAGACTAGAACGAAGTTTTTGAAATTCACCACCACCATCGGTATAAAGACGACGAATAGTGGCGGAGAAGTAATTCTCGACTAGTTTGCGAAAATTCAAGAAAACTTGAAGAACATCAGATTTATTTTTCAAGGGATAGTACCACGTATAACGCGAGAAGTGATCAACAATAATGAGATAATAATGATAACCATCAATGGAATAAACCGGAGCAGGGCCCCAAACGTCTGTGTATAAAAGATCGAATGGTCTATCACTAGTCAAAGACGAAACAACAAAAGTGAGTTTGTGACTTTTATTGGAAAGCCATGAATCACATGAGCTGCTAGTGATAGAGGATGAGACTGGGAGGGATTGCGAGCGAAGCATACTAGCAAGAAATTGAGGAGATGGATGACCGAGACGAGAGTGCCAGGAAACAACCGAGGTGCGAGTGGTAACAAAGGCTAGACGGACAGGTTCGGCCTCCCGAGGCAGCTCATACACATCACAGTTGTTTGTCCCTTTCAGCAGCGCCGCCCCCGTGCGAAGATCCTTGACAACAAAACAGTCGGCAAAAAATTCCACCGAAATAGGGTTAGTGCAGCATAGCATGGCAAAAGAAATTAAGCGCTTTTTGATGGCAGGAACACATAATATATCTTCAATGTGAGTTATCTTCAAACCTAAGCCATCGCCAACAAAAATCTCATCGGGGCCATTATAATCCGAGTAAAGTGATAAGTTGCCTAAATCTGTGGTAACGTGATGTGATGCAGCCGAGTCCATGAGCCATGGACCTGAATTGGATGAGCTTGCGAGAGTGGTGGTAGCATGGGCTTCAGGTTGGGCCCGCCGAGTTTGGGGAAACAACTTGAAACAAGAGCGGGCTGAGTGACCAGGCCGCCCGCAGTATTAGCAAATGACAGATGGGCGACGCTGGCGGGCTTCATCAGGTGGAGAGGGCAGCAGCGCTCCAGACCCAATTGTACGGCCCATGTCGCGAGAGTGAGGTTGAGGCAAAGAAGCCCAGTCACGATCACGGCTGGGGAATGAAGGCGGTGCCCAGTCCCACTGCTGCCATGCGGGCGAAGAGGACGAGCAGAGGAGCCGGAGTCGCCGTGAAGTTATTGGCCCTGAGAGTAATACGCATTTGGCACGGCTTGACATCCCTAGCCTACTCCTACAAGTCAGCTTCGTACTCGACAAGAGATTCGAGAAGATCATCAATCGTGCTAACAGTGCCCCGGGCACGAACAGAAGCATAGAATTGATTGAAATCAGGACCTAAGCCACGCAAGGTATGAACAACAAGATCAATATCAGAATAGGGTGCACCAATAAGAGCGAGTCTGATCACTTTCAGTTTCATGTCATGAACGTAGGTGACGACATCACGGTCGCCCTTCTGAGTCTTGTGCAGGCTGCTTTTAAGAGCAATAACCCTGGATTGAGCACGGCTAGCATAGAGCTTCTCAAGAGTATTCCAAGCATCACAAGAAGTTGCAGCAGCAGATACATATGGATAAATAGATTCAGATAATGATCAGCTAAGAGCATGTATGATAAGCTTATCATGACGAAACCACAAGCGATAGGCAGGATTGGGTGTCGTAGCATTGTTGGCGGTGACTGTGTAATGATTGGGATTTAGTTGTCACAAATGTTTAGTTGGAGGTGTCTTTTGTAATTGATCAGCCCTATAAAGGGTCTTGTACTGTGAACGAGAGAAGTAAGAAAGAAATAACAGAACACTCTATTCTCAATCTCCTTCTCTGTACTCTCTTCTTCTTCCTCTCCTTCTCTGTTCTTCCCCTGATTCTCTGATTTTTCTTCTCAAATTCACCTCCCTTCTTCCTCGATCTAGTCTATTTCTATGTTCTTAATCGCCGGGAAAGATCCAGATCCGTCACGGCTGTTACAACTTGGTATAATAGCCTCTTCTTGGCAAACTTTGACGAGGGCAATCAGAATTCGAGAATTCGCAGCTTTCACCAACAACGGGGGAATGGAGCGACGCGATGACGCACGGCCTGATCCAAGCTTTCTGAGTTTGTCAAAGCTACGTCAAACAGGGATTGCGATCGAAATTGGCATCGCAGGGCATCCGTTTGCTCCCTGTAGCTTAGCTCATCCACCACCTGTTCGAAGAAATGCGGAGTTGAAGGTCCTTCTGCCAAGAAGCGGAGTTTCAAACCAACCTGCTGACGCACTTGGAATCAACGGCCAATCTCACGGTAATTTCACCTCCACTCTGCCGTTGGCATTTCCTTCTTTCGATGGGGAGAACCCTAAAGAATGGATTATAGAATGTGAGTTGTTGTTTGATGAGTCGGGAATACCGGATGAGCGGAGAGTTGAGTTGGCGGCAGCAAAGTTCCATCGTAGGCCGGCTATTTGGTTCTGGAATTGGGGGTTGCGTCGAGCCGTGTTAGATTGGGATGAGTTTGTTGATGCGGTATGCAACCATTTTGGCAGTACATGTAGACTATCACTTCCCTCCTTCTCGGGTGAAAATCCTAAGGATTGGGTTAGGAAATGTGAAGAGTTGTTTCGTTTTCACAAAATACCTAAGCATGAGAGGGTGGGTCGGGCATCAATCTGTCTTGAAGGAAGGGCTCTCGGGTGGTTTCGATATTGGCACCCTCGTCATGATTTTTGCAGTTGGCCAACATTTGCTACGGCTGTGTGTGAGTATTTTTGGGATTTGAATATAGAGTGGGTAGTTGGGGTGTTCAACATGCTTATAATGCTAGAGTCGGTAGAGGAGTATCAAGAGTGATTTGAGGTATTGAAAGTGGCACTACTGAGGCTGGATCCAACATTACCAGAAGCCTACTTCATTAAGGGTTTTCTACGTGGCTTGCCGGGTGATATTCAAGCATTGGTGAGGAAGTCACAGCCACAAACTCTTCTCCAAGAATACCATCAAGCTCACTTAGAAGAGGATACCATCGAGACTTGCAAAAGCCAGAAGCAATCTCAGCTGGGTGATTACTCAGGTTCAAGTGGAGAGATCTTATTTGATATGAATCAACTGATTCCTCCTGCGGATTGTACTACCATCAGCAATCCATCGCCTGAGGACTTAAACTGTTGTCGACGTTTTTCAATTCCAGCTCAAGACGTTTTCCCACCGCCTGTTCGCCGAAATACTGAGGCCTCCCTTTTCCCTCCACCTACAGGTACCTATCTGCCTCTCCTACTTGAACCGGATTTCCCTTCCTTTTGTGGCGAGAACCCTAGGGCTTGGATTAGCTTGTGTGAGCATCTGTTTGGAACATGTATTGTCCCTGAGCATGAGAAGGTTGAGAGGGAAGCAACTAAATTCGGGTCTAGGCCAGAGGTGTGGTTCAGAATGTGGAGTTCTTGACGTCCAGCCTTGGTTTGGGGTGATTTTGCGGCTGCTCTTTGTCGACGATTTGAACGTTTTGGATGGTACAAGGATCCTGTTGAGAAACACACTAGAGGCTCCATTGATAGTGAAAAGGCAGGTCCTTGTGTGGTAAGAAATCATGAGAAGTACCTAGTGGACTTGGTCTATAATTTGGTGGAGCAAACTGGATTTGAGTGCCGGATTGGTCACGCTAACTCTTTGAAGACAGTTGAGGGCTTGGATGAAAAGAGTACACAGATAAATGGATGCAATCTTGAGCTGAGGAAAACTATTTGATTATTCGGTAATAACAAAGGCTTTAAGAGTGGGGATGTCGTGCTCAATAATGCAACTACTTTACTTGCTAAGGCCATATCAAAGCTAAAGGATGAATTTAAGCAGCTACTTGTGTCTCACAGCAACACTGTGGAGATTGTTCGTCTTTTTGATTGTCTTTCTGAATCTGTGCAACCTTCTCCTGGATCTTATGGCCACTATGGCGACCCTAATTGCCTAGGTCCTCACTTCCATAAGCATTCCAAGCAACAGAACCATAATGCATAGGCTGCATTCCTTCGGTTCCCATTATATGTGGCTGCCATGACTAAGACTTTTGGTGGGCTATCCATCGATTCCATTTTTTGTCCTCATAATTTCGATGTTGGATTTGTAGAGGGCGTTGTGGAGTGCTGCTAGACAAGTTGGGATTATAAGTATAGGGTTTACCCTACTTACTACGGGGTTTGGGTACGATCTTGTGGCAGAGGAAGGCGTCCTGGTTTCAAGGAGCCTTATAACTTATAAGGATCGTTGTCACTTGGCTGGTGGGCTGTGCTGTTTATAATGATTAATGATATACTGTGTGTTGCAGTAGTAGAGAAAGCTTGAGCTGATTGTGGGTTAAAGGTTGTGCTGTTTACAATGAACATGAAGTTGTTGGTGTCTATATAGGACTAGTTGGTGATATGCTTGCAGGGTTCTATCCAATCAATCAGTAGCTTACGCTTACTGCGGCAGCCTATGATGAGTTCTAAGCTCTTGCCAATGAACAGTTTGGAGGGTAAACTATAGGTGGATCATTCAATTTTGAAAAGAGCAGGGTTGGTTTCAAATGAGGACAACAACCAACTACCTTCGTTGTTGCAGTTTCATATGTCTAGTTCATTTTCTTGTCATTTCTTATGTTGTGGGTTGTTGTTTTGTTGATAGAATTGAGGACAAGTCTATTTTTGAGGGTTTGGGAGTTGTAATGATTGAGATTTAGTTGTCACAAATTTTTAGTTGGAGGTGTCTTTTGTAATTGACCAGCCTTATAAAGGGTCTTGTACTGTGAACGAGAGAAGTAAGAAAGAAATAACAAAACACTATAATCTCAATCTCCTTCTCTGTACTCCCTTCTTCTTCCTCCCTTTCTCTGTTCTTCCCCTGATTCTCTGATTCTTCTTCTCAAATTCACCTCCCTTCTTCCTCGATCTAGTCTATTTCTCTATTATTAATCGTCCGGAAAGATCCAGATCCATCACGGCTGTTACAGACTGTCTTCTCCAGCGCAACAGAGGTGCAGTCGACGAAGCCAAGAAGGTCTAGGGCCATGAGTAGTGTCTCGACTTGAGATCTCCAGGAGGTATAGTTGAGAGATGTGAGCTTGAGCGGCAAATGAGTGGCCAGTTGTCATGGTGAGGTATCGCAGCAAGAGGGAAGGCCGGAGCTGGTTATGAGTTGGACCTGAAATGAAAGGAAAGAAAAATAGTTGGATCTGAAATGAAAGGAAAGAGAAGAGAAAAGAGAGCGGGGAAAAGAGAACAGAAGCGTGATTGGATCAAAAGTCTAGCTGAACTCTGATACCATAACAGATGCTTTGGGGAATCAAACGTGATTTTGCATTGATGTGTATTGAGGGGATTTATACAAGATACATAGAGGCTATAGGGAAAGATAAATACAAGGGGAAATACAATTATACAACTGTAAATACATGGATAAATACATAAGGAATAAAATCCTTCTGTTACTCTAATAAATAGTACACCATTAAATAGAAGCTACAATATCTCAACTCTCCAACTTCGAGAAAGATATATATAGCAATGTAGACAGAAATCAAGATCAGTAGCTTGTATATATACTCAATCGTCAATCCCCGATTCAGTACACATAAAAATAGCAGAATTCAAGTCAGCAAATGGCTGTATTGGGGATTTAAGCATAACAAGACTTCCAGGACCATTGGTTATCTTCCAGTGAGGAAGAAATGCATTTAGTTATGCACATCGGAGTGAAGTGACAGATGGCTTTACCTGCCTGCCAACCATCAGGATTGAGGTTCATCAGAGATGTTGTAAGTCCAGTCTCCAAGTCAATGCAACTAATGGTTCCAGCAGAGCAGAGGATGCAGCTTATATACTAGCATCATCCACAGGATTGAACCTGCAGAAGTACCAGACATGTTAAGAGTTGTCATACAGCAATTATGTTCAAACAGAAATATAATTGAATTTCTGCACCCAAACCATGTAGAAAAAGAAAAGCTGACTAAATATGATCATAACCCTCACAAGTGTGTATATTTTATTTCCATACACCATCTTCTCAAAGTCCCAGATTCCAACTTGTCCGCTCTTTTGCAGTAGAACCAAAAGAGAAGTCAGGGGAATGAATTGTGTTGTGATGAAGAACACAGCAGTCTTAACTGAGACCTAAGCTCATATTGGCAATGAAGAAGCGGAAAGAGACCCACTGTAGTAGGGTGGAAGGAACTCCAAACATGTCACCCGCCTGCTCTGCTACTGCTGTGATATCTGATAACTGCACAGACATTGTAGTATGCTCTGCACTGCAAGGAATTAACAACATGTGGCCAAAGAGGGAAATGAAGTAGCGTTAGAAAGAAACGATCAAGAGTTGACAATATTACTTTCACTAAGAATAAGGAAAGCTGAAGAATGGAACTAACTCTAAAAATTCTGCAACACAAGATAAAAACTGCAATGCCAGGCCCCAGGCTTGAACTGATGCTCTGTAGGAAATATATATCATTAACCATAACAATAAAAGAGAATAAATCGAACATTAAAACTGAAACACGAGCAACAAATACAACAATGCCTTTACTTTGCACAGTTTATGCAGACTGAAGGTAATGGATGCCTTTCCCTCCTCCATTGTCTGCGCTTCGGAGGAAGAGCTTTGCTCAGACTCCGAGTCTCTCTCGATCACCACTTTAGGCAACGCGTTCCGTCTCGATCGTCCGCGGCGCCATTCTTTGACGTAATTGGATATTGTAGAAGAAGACAAAGATCCCTAAAAACCAGGGTTTTGACGGCGAACCAACTCAGCTGAGGGAAGGGATGGTGAATCCAAGAGCAAATACAAAACTGATGAGAGAGTTCCACTGCGAAACCACAACAAAAGTTTTGGGGCGAACGAAACAAAGAGGGAGACAGTAGAGTAGAGACAAACCGACCGCCAAGAAGAAACTGCCTTAATTACTGTCCTGCCCTTCTCTCGGACCACTAGTCCCAATGTCGCCCGTCCATGGGGGGAACGAGACTCGGAGGATATATCCGGAAATTAAAATTTCACCTGTGGCGGGAGGGAGTTGATGTGACCTGACCGGTTAGCCACCGCTCTGAGGTTGACGCGCCCAGGACAGCAGCAATTAAAAGGCAATGTCCACCATCCACATTTTCTTTTTTTTTTTTTCGATAAGTCATCCACATTTTTTTGCCATGATTAAACCGCTTTATTAGTAGTTTCTTTTCTTTTCTTTTCTTTTGGATAATTAAATCCTTTATTTCTGCAAAAACCCAAATAGCTAAAAGAAATTTAGACGCGAATTAATGAAGTTAAAATATTTTTTTCGACTTCTATAATCGTTAATTATAGTAATTTTCAAGTTTCATATAGATGTTGTAATTTCAATTCAGATCTCCATTATGATATACCAACTAATAATAAATCTAATTAATTCACATGAGAATTAGGGCGAGATAGATAGTGGGACAAATTCTTATTCCATAAAGGTCAGGTAGGTGACGCGTCCCTTATCCTCTAATACTAAACATCCAGCTGGTGGACAAACTTTTTTTTTAAAAAAATTTACTGTGCCATTCCCACTTGGCCACTTTGTCCAACATGAATAAAATAATGAATAAATATCAAGAAAGAAAAAAATATAAAAACACAAAATGCCACTAAAAAGGATGAAATAGTCCTTTCCCATTCCTGACTGAGGGTTCGCCGCCGGTTTATAAAAACCTCTGGCGTCGCCGTAGTCTCCGCCACCCGGGTTTCCCCTCTTCTTTACCACTTTTGCAGTGTTCCTTTGGTCTTTGTACCCTAACATCTAGTGCGTGGCCGCCACGTAGGTGCAGTGCACCCTAACTTAAAATCAAGGTGACGTTACTACCCTTCCCTCTTAATACTCAGTTACTCATCAACACATGAAAAAATAAAAGAAAATCGCCAACCCTAAACCCCAAGCTGCCGCCACCACCAAGCCATCGTCGTAGTTGAGCCACCGCCTCCAGGGGCGTAGCCAGGATTTTGTTGAGGGTGGGTCCATTTAGAAAAAATACATACGATAAAACAATTTTGTTAGCTTTCTAAATCGTTCATGATATAATTTTGTATTTGTAAAAACTTGGTAAATTAAATTATATGTCAAAACTATCAACAATATCACCATATATGTATCAAACAATTATTTATGATTTAGTTAGACATTTGCTTTTGAATCGTGTTCTTCGTCAAGACCGTTTAGTATCATTAACTCGAGTTGTTAGTAAAGATTTAATAATGAATCTAATACTATTTAGTATTTACTAACACTTTCCTGCTTACTACAACCAACTTATGCGTGAAACTTACGTAAATCCGAATATCATGTGTTTAACAAATGGGGTTACAAAGATTCGAACAAATGATATCTCGGTCAACCATTCTCAATTAGAAGTGTCCTAAATTTCATTCTCGATTAACTATTATACTAATTTACTCATTTTCGTCCTTAGGAAACACCTGTTACAATCTCCCTACCCCTGATTAAAATAAAATTATTTTTACAAATGAATTATGATTTGGTGGAAATTTGTTGTAAATATTGAATACATACATCTTCAATTTTGGTCGAATCATATACATCATTATCATTTGTACATAGCTCGTTATAAATACATTGAATATGTCAACGCTCGTTATAAATCATACATCAAATATTTCAAAGGTCTACCAATTTCATTTAAATACGTATTATTTTTCATACCCGATTAACTATTATACCTAATTAACCATTTTCTAACCCGAGCCAGGGTGGGTCCCAGGACCCACCCTTTAACTCTCTCCCTCCGCCCCTGACCGCCTCCACTGTTGTTGAACTAAGTTGTTGAAGCTTGCGCATCATCCCTTTGAACCTCGACACTGCGAAGTTAGCTGACGATGTTGTCGCCCAATAAATCTTTTCAAAATTCGTAATTTGTTTTTTCGTTTCAAAAAAATGAGCTGGCGTAGCAAACTGAAGAAACATATATTAGTTGTGAGTTTCAGAGAGCATGTTGTGATCTGAGGAGGCAACAATGTGGACAGGTTTTGTAGTGATGAGATTCAAAGAGACAACAACGAACTTCATGACGACATTATTGATGACAAGTTTCAATTGCATGTAATAGTTATGATCCTCGTGATTGATTGAGTTCCTCGACAACACTATATAATTTAGGATCAAAATGTGTCATAAATTATAATTAAGTAATTTAATTTGTAAGTTAGAACGATATTAAAAAAATATAGAGACCGATAGCAATACAATATTTTCAAAATTAGACTTTTAGAGCATAGAACACAAGTGTAGTGATCTGCAAAAAGAAAAAGTATTTTCATTTTTCAACCTTTCGGTAGGTGGGGGCCATAAATCAAATGAAGATTGAAGAAGCTCTTCTTCGATTGAGATTCACGAAGCGCGGAGCAGAGGATCTTATCTACTTCCACGGTCGGGGTTTCTCAGGATCTGTCGAGAGCGAGGGCAAGATGGTCAAATCGAGCAATCCAAGTTCTACCCTTTCTTCTTCTCCGCCTTCTTCAATAAAAAGAGAGAGAGAGAGAGAGAGAGAGAGACACGAGAGTGGTATTACAATTTACAACTCAACTGACACTGCCGGGGAAGGAAGGGCTCTCTCTTTTTGTCCCTCTGGGGTTTTCTAGATAGGGTTTCCGCTTACAATTTGTCGAGTTTCGGATTTGATTTCTGTGGTTCATCTGAGATTTCAGTCCAGTGAGAATAGCTTCGTTGTTTTGGTTCCCCCAAATCTACTCACTGTCTGTCCAGTTCGAGAAAAATTCTCCTGTTCGTTTGATGGGGATCTTCTTTCTGGGGAAATAAGACTCAGTGGCATGGGAAAATCTTCTTTTAAGGATTCACTCAAAGCTCTTGAAGCTGACATCCAACACGCCAACACTCTGTAATTACTTCCTTCCCTCATCTTCCCATCTTTCTATACTCCTTTTTCCTTTCTGGGTCGAGCGAAAGTCGGGATCTTTCTGTTTTTTTTTTTAATAGATGCATCGGTGTTTAGTATGTTTTACTGTAGATGGGTTTTGATTTCTTTCTTCTGTCTTCCTGCTCGGTCGGTCACTGAATACGGATTAGAGGAATATTTAATTGCGTTTTATGATCGAGGAGAACATCAGGGGAAACTGAAAGTTTCTGTCTTGATTAGAGTAAATCGATGGGATTTTGGATTTTCTAATGATGGTGGTGAATTTGCAGTGCCTTGGATTATCCGAGGGAGAAGGATGGAGCTCGCGTTCAGATGAGATTGTCATACAGCCCAGCTGCCCAATTCTTTCTGTTCCTTGTTCAATGGACTGATTGTCACCTTGCTGGCGCCTTTGGCTTGCTCCGGATTCTCATTTACATGGTGAGTGAGATCCTCTTTCCACATTCTGCAGGCAATCATTGATTTACTGCCTCAGGCAGATGCGGTTATGATCTTATCCGACGTGCATTCAGGTCTTGTACACTGTTGTTTGTCTTATTAGATTGAGATGTATGTACTCTTTTGGTTGCTGCAGACCTATGCTGATGGGAAGACCACTATGTCTGTTTACGAAAGAAGAGCCAGCCTCAAAGAGTTCTACGGTGAGTGGCTGACTGGAGCTTCCAGTTTTGTAGAATCTGCTGATGATGTGTGATGCAGCTAGAGGTCGGGAAGTTGACACTAGTCGTGGTTATTCGTGTGCAATCAAATGACGTTGCAGGTCTTTGTTTTCTTTGTTTCGAACAGGAGTGATATTTCCTTCGTTGTTGCAACTTCAGAAAGGGATCACAGAGTTGGAGGATAGGAAACAGATGGAGGTGTGCACCAGCAAGTACAGTAGAGAAGATGAGTGTGACAGAGGGGAAAAGTCTGGGATCGACGTTGAAAGAGAAGATGAATGTGGGATATGCATGGAGATGAACCCTAAATTTGTGTTGCCTGATTGCAATCACTCCATGTGTCTCAAATGTTTCAGGGACTGGTAAGTAGTTAACCTTCCTCCCATCTGACCCCAGTGCATATGAAGATTTCGAGTCCTACATAGTTGCAGAATTTGATGGTCGTGAACCGGGTTCGTGTTTTGATTCGATGTCTTAGTTCACTTCTTTCTGAACTTCATCACAGGCGTGAAAGGTCTCAGTCATGCCCATTCTGTCGGGACAGCCTGAAGAGGACGAATTCTGGGGACCTTTGGATATTCACAGACAGCTCTGAAATCGTAGACTTGCCTAGTATTTTAAGGGAGAATTGCAGGAGGCTTTTCATGTACATTGATAAGTTGCCACTCATTGTTCCAGATCATCTTTATTCCATGTGATCGCCATTGCCAGATTATGGGCCTCATGGCACTTGGCTGGCGCCTAGGTACTCTTTTTGTATAGCAATGTCCTGTATATCAGTAAATCTTTTCCTCTACCGGTAACATGTCAACAATGTAAATATTCTCCTGGCAATAGATATGGTTGAGTGGTGAATTTTCAACAAGGTGCTTTCATTTTTCTACAGCAGCAGAATGTTGAAATACGAACATTAGAATGAACAAATGAGACTGGCGATGGTTTAAGATTGAGAGAACGAGATACTCCCTGCCTGCAAATTCGGTCATGATTGATCATCGTCTCTAAAACGCACATAATCTGCATAGCGGCGAGGTTGCTCCTCTTCCGCATGATTCACGTAGGCATAACCGCCATGGCTGGAGACATCTAGCCCCGCAACTTCCTCTTCTATTGATATCCTTAGAATGTTGAGCTTGTGGAGTACATAAAACATAGGCCCCATTGTTACACTAACCCAGCCAACGATCGCCAACACTGCAACCACTTGGGAAGTGATCAACTTCCATCCTCCGCCCAATAGAAGGCCGTAAGGTCGTGGAGCCATGCCTGCAAGTCCTGAATCATAGACTTGAACAACGAACTCCTCTTTAGCAAACAGTCCAGTGAATATCAAACCCCAAGCTCCACAGCCGCCGTGAAGCTGGGTTGCCTCCAATGGGTCGTCGTATTGCAGCTTCAACGCCAAGATGTTGAGGCCAATTAGGACCCAAGCTGCACAGAAGCCGCACACAATAGCAGCCCAGGGCTCCACAACTGCGCAACCTGAAGTGATTGCTACAAAGCCTCCAAGCACACCATTGCATACATCCATTGTGTCCCAATGACCTATTAGCAGCCTACGTCCAAACAAGGTTACGATTCCGGCTGTGGACCCTGCCAATGTGGTTGTCACTGCTGTGCGGCCCACTGCAGTCCAGTTGCCCTGGCCAGCCGTGCTAGGATAGGCTACGAGGATCTTTGTGAATGAGCCTGGATTAAACCCGAACCACCCGAACCATAACAAGAAAGTTCCTAGTACCACCAGAGTTGCATTATGGCCACGCATTGGCACTGGTTTCCCGAATGCATCGAACCTTCCAACTCGAGGACCTTCGATGAAAGCACCCCAGAATCCAGCAATAGCCCCCACCAAATGCACCACCCCGCTACCAGCAAAGTCGATAGCACCGGATCCGAACAGCAATTGGGTCGAGCTAGTACTCAACCAACCGCTCGAAGACCAAACCCAATGAGCCACAATGGGATAAACGAACCCGGTTAGGAAAAAGGAGTAGACAAGGTAAGCACCAAACTGGGTTCTTTCAGCTATGGAACCACTAGTGATGCCTGCCACAGCAATGGCAAAAGCCCACTGATAAAGGAAGTAGGCATAATCGAAGTCCGGGTTGGGGACGTCTTTGAGAGCGAAAAAGGTAGTGCCGATGAAAGGATTGGCATTGGAGCCTGTACCAAATGCGAAAGCAAAGCCAAAGAGGTAGTAGGAAATGCTACCTACGACGGCATCAACAACATTTGTGAGCATAATGTTGAGGGCGTTCTTGGCTCTCACTGAGCCGGCACACAGCATGGCAAAACCAAGTTGCATCATGAACACCAGGTAAGCCGAGAAGAGAAGATAAATGGTGTTGATGGCTTCTGTAACACTTTCTTCCCATGAGACTTCCATGGCGATTGATGGGAAATGAGAGATTGGAGATGGGAGAATGAGGAGTGGTTGCTGTAAATGGGAAGATAAAGAAGATACCAACTCACAAGTTGATACAATCCTCCCTCCGTCCCCTACAGATATTGAATTGTAGCTGGGGACTGAACCCCTCAAATTGATTTTTGTCCTCCATGTAGGACCGTCAAGAATTGTGACTAGCTGTGCATTGTAAGTCAGTGGATGAGAAGGGGACGGATAGGCTTAAACGATAGCATTTTAGTGGACAAGTAGTAGTAGCTGAGGATTTTATTCAGATGGGACTGGGAGTGGAAGGGAACGGTAGCTGCCTGGAATTCGTTCTCCAGATCCAAACAGGCAGATGATATATGCTATTAACATAGTAAGTTTTTCACTGTCTTGACGACTTTGTAAACTTATCCATCTCAAATCAATGGGATAAACTAGATTAAGATGTCGATTACGAACTAAAATGACATTATTATAAGATGCTTTTGATTCTATAATTGTCTCCACAGCAAAAGAGTTTTCGATAACCAAATAAGTTGACATAAAAGTATCGATCCCTGGAAATTGATTCCATCAGGGTTCTTTGCTGAGTTTCATAAACTTCTACCTATACATAGAAATGACAACAGTAGCAGTGGGGATCAAGTTTATACACAACTTGCGAGGAGTGTTGTACTTAATAGGATTCTACATAGCTATCTGAGTTCCCAACCGGTACCCGGCTAGTGAGGGAGGGTCTCATGGTGACTATGGCAGATTCATTAGCTCCAGCTCTGAGTGCAGCTCTCCCAGCTTCAAGGAACCTCCTGACAGCATCTTCAGTATATTTTTTGGCTTGAGCCACCGTCATGGTCTTGCCAATATCCGGGTAAGTGTTCAACACATAATCACCATTCAGCTGGGATGCAAGCTGGACTAGCTCCGTTTGGAACTCCGACAGTTTTGCATCTGGGTTTGCTCCTACCGGTCTCAAAGCTTGCTTCACTTCAGGCAGTGTCTCTGTATCGAGAATGATGCATACAATAGGATTAGCTTCCAAACGGCCAAACCTGAAAGAGAACTCATACAGACATCCCAAACCCAAAAGCACCATAGAAGCTAAGTGTAGTTGCAGGTCACTTTCAAGTTTCAACTCTCTAATTGTTTATGGAAAGATTGAGAAGCACCTAACGGGAAAGGGAAGGAAACAAGGGACCCTCTAATCTCTTTAGATTTGGATTGACAAAAATGAAGCGTATACAGCAACATCCAAGATTTCTTGCGAGAAGTTCCAACCTCATTTTCTTATAGCAACAAACAAAGATGGAAGAGGATAATCGCAAACCTGGGCAGTCGTCACGGGGAGTTTTGCGAAGGTAAAAGTAGCTGTCAAAGGTACCAGCCCAAGCATCCCTCTTGGTCAAGAAGTTGGATTTCAGGTTGAAGAGCTTCTTTACCGTGGCGGGGACTGAAGAATGCTCAAACTGGGAAGTCGGTGTTGGCCCATCAGGCTCATGGATTACTGCACACCCATGCCATCAACCAGAACCAAACACCGTTTATTAGATAAGAAAAGCTTTGTACAGATCAAACCACGCAATCCAGATAACGACAGCTCAACCTCTCAAACAGTTCCATCACCGGCTCTCCCACTTCTACATCTATGAAATTGGCGTATTGCTTCCAGTACAATCAAAGACAACAACTTTTTCTCGGAAAAGAGAAACTCATGAGAACATCAAAGGGGGGCAAAATGCGTATACCGGACAAAATTGGGGGGAAAGAATCACCATATGCATGCAGTACAAAGTTTTCACAGAGGCATATTATCAAACACTTACCGGTACCCCTGTCAATCCAGGGAGAAATCAAGAAAGTCGGGACCCGAACACCCAATCGGTCAAAACGGAAGTAAAAAGGGTCCGGCCCGACAATCCCGTCGGGGCTGGGAACTCCAGTAACCGGCGTCGGGACGTGATCGTAGAACCCGCCGTGCTCGTCGTAGGTAATCAAGAAGGCCATCTCCTTCCACTGCGGGCTGGCTCTCAGTATCTCGTAAACCTCCTTCACGAACTTCTGCCCCTCCGCCACGTCGTGCGACGGGTGGTCGTCGTTGGCAAGGCCAAACGGCACGTCGTACCACCGCTGCTCCACCACGACGTAGTTGGGGAGCTTCCCTTCCGCCGCGTGGGACTTGAACTTGAGGGCGTAGTTGTGGAATTTGAAGATGTTCTTCAGCTTCCTGAGCGAGCTGAAGAATAGTGTGGCGGGGATACTTTGGTAATAAATCCCAAAACTGAGTCCGTTCTCGTCCAGCGAGTCGAAGATCGTCTTCTGCGGGAACCCACGAATCAGGTCCTTGCGGACGTTGCTGGTGGCGCCGTGCGAGGTCGCCGAGTGAACGTAGAACCGGTTCGGCTGAGTCGACGCCGGGACCGAGGCGAACCACCGGTCGAACACGGCGAACTCGTTCGCCAGCGTGGTGAAGACCGGGATCCGGGTCGGGTGGAACCCGCTCATCACCGTCCTGGCCATCGTCTCGCTCATATTGGCGGCCTGCTGGACGAACCCGTTCATCGGAGCGGGGCTCCGACGGGTATCGTTCGACCCGAAGATTTGTTCCCTGATGGCCTGGAAAGAGTGGCCCGGGTCGGAGTCCACGAAGATCGCGTCGTCGGAGACGAAGACTTCCGGGGAGTCGGGATCCGTGGCGGAGATCTTGTTGGACTCGGTCCCGGTGAGCCCGTCGATGTCGGGTCGGGTTGACTTGAGCCAACCCAGGATATGGTCGAAGGAGCGATTCTCCATGACCAGAACAACGACTGTTTTGATGGGTCCTCTGATTTTGGACTTATGCAGGTTAAACAATCTCTCATAGTCTCGAGACTGGGCGGAAACGGCCAAGAAGAGGAGGAACAGAGCGGTAATCGGGAGCCGCCGGGAAGCCATTATCCGGCAGTCCTAGGGAAAGTGGGGATGGTTAACGGCAGCACAAGGTTTCGAATATCTACGACATGGAAGAGAATCGGTGAAAAAAAAGGAGACCGATTTAACGACGGCAACGGCCAAAGAAAAGGGTATATGCTCTGTGGAAGAGAATCAAGCTTGCGAAGTCGATTGCTTTGCTGAACTTTTATTTATTTATTTATTTATTTATTTATTTGGTGGTGATTGTTACCAGTCCATTACTCCATTAGCTTTGGAAAAATCAAAATTCGGAGTTGTAAAGAATGGGTCTACATCAAGGTTGTCAACCCGCGGGTTGACCCACGGGTCGACCCAATTTGACCCTGATCCGGTGAGAAAAACGGGCCGCAAGCACCTGTCGGGCCGACCGCTATTAGGTACCAGGTTGGATGTCAAATTGTGTCATTTTTTTCTTTAGTTTGCGAAATGCGCCTATTTTCCAATTTTTCTTTTCGCCTAACTCAATCTTTGGAATACTAAGTTGAACATTTGAATATTTATGTTATATAAGTGTGTGTGAATTTTCACTATATGTTGGATCTAAGTACGATATGTTATTTTGGTGTAATATTATATGTTATAACTCATATGTTAGATAAAATTTGATATAATTTATGAGGATAAGTGCAATATAATGACTCTTTCTATATTTTCGGGCCAAACCGGGCTAAAACGGTTGACCCATTAACCCTTGACCCACTAGCTCGACCGGGTCCGGATCAAACCGCGGGTTGACAACCTTGGTCTACATGAAAACGACATCCATATGCTTGAATCTTGATTTTTTGTTTTTGGCTTCACCGACTTTTTGGATTAGTCAGCTAACTTTTAATCATTAACCAAAAACTCATTATCATTTATCACTGGCTGTGCCGTTATAATTTATTTACTGTTAATCCGTAACCGTAGCTTCTTTTTTTTTTTCGTTGAATCGTTACCGTAGCTTCCATTACCAGTTATCGTTTCGTTGCGATTAATAGGTGGATCATTAAGTCTTGTCGATGACTTCGGTAGCTGAAGAGTAGAGGGAGATCGTAGGAGATTGATCACGTTGTAGCGTAGAGTCAATTTACTGAATACACAAGTGGTACTCGGATCGTATTCACTTGGGATTTCTAATGATCGACTACTCAAAATCAAGTGTTGTACTTGAATTCGGCAAAAAGATAAATACAAACTTACAATATAACAAAATTAAAAATACAACACAACACAACGAAAATATAAAACACAAAAAATAACATAATGGGCGAGAAGAGATCGTTCAGAACATGCTCCCAATATGTTCGATGGACCGATATCATATTCAAATAGATCAAATTACACGAAATTCGTCCTATCTTGTGTCACAAGCGTTTACCCGATCTGATAGGCAACAAGCACCCTATGGATCTCTCTTTTGAGGTGTCACGCAACTTAATCGATTGATGATAGTTCGTGATGGGTGGCAATTCTTGTCTCATCCGTCTCAAAATCATATTTCGAAGGCTACACCACGAAGAGATGCATCTTCCGCCTGCTACGCAATCAATGATCAAGAATCTATGCTAGAACATCAATCACATTCAAATTACAAAATCAATCCATTTCCCTGGGGTTCTACGTGATTTGAACCGTTTAAGTTTATCTATCCCTGAATACAAAAGAAATCATAAGAGTAGGGATGACAATGGGTCGGGGGTGGATAGTGCATATCCGTTACCCTACCCAAAGTAGTTCGGATTTTATCCATACTCATATCCACATGTGAAACGGGTAGAATATCAAAACCATGCACATACCCGTTCGGATTTCGGGTATCCACGGTTATTCATGGGTAATAGTTTCTCTTCACAACTCCAACTAATATGTTAACATTTACACGTATTCTCACATTACGTAAGAGGAAAAGTACGATAATAATTCACTATAATATAGAAAATTAATTAAAACAACACAATTTCGTGAAAATATTATATTTAGATGCTAAATATAAAATATGTTAGAGAAAAATAATGATTATTTCTAGATAAAATACATATGCAGGTGTATAATCGTGCGGGTTCTGGAAAGATAGTGAGATACCCATGCCCACCCATTACCTGCAGTATTCGGGTTTGAGTTTTACTTGTACTCACTAAATATCCTTCGGGTTCAGATTTTACCCTACCCAATTAAGCTGGATTCAGGTAGATATCCATGGTTACGCAATATTTTTGCCTTCCTTGCATAAGAGTAAAAGAGACAAAAATCGCCATAACGATTCCCCCTTCTGATCTTCACTCATTGCTCCTTCTTTGTGTCTCCAGAAGCTCCTCTTATCGCAATATGTATTTTTCTGATTCACTCATTCCCCCTTTGGATTCTACAATATGTATTTTTCTCTTCACAACACGTCGTACAATGTTTATTAGGAAGGAATTTTCAAAATAGGAAATCTTTTTGGATATACATGATTTATGCAATAACTTTTGTTTTACTTTCCACAAATAAACATACATTATGAAAAAATGTCTATGATAAAAATTATTGTCCTTAAAAAGTTATGCGAAATTAAAAAAACAAGTTTATGGCGTACGGGTTGTAGAGCAGTAAGTTATGGTCGTCCAAACTTTGACGAAATCGAAAAATTGCTCGTTTGGGTAGCTAATGACATATTTTCGGGCCGAAGGCGGGATGCAAGATCTTGAAAAATTATGCAGAATCAGAAAAACTTTCGCTATGATCTAATAACCGGACACAAAGTTACATTCGTTCGAAGATTCAGCCTAAAACGATGAAGGTGTAAAAGACCGTCACCGTGTCTGACTCCAACAATGAATGGGCAAAAAAGCAATATTTGACCATTCGGGTTGGAGCTTAGAGTTGGACCTACCTCCCACCGACCGAAACAACAAAACTTAGCCAAGTTCGAGCATACGCCAGTAAGACTTTTCACCTGTTTGTTAACCATAAGCCAGAATGGGAAGGCATTAATTCATCTGCAAACCTGGAAACCTGATGATGAATTGCAGAGAAACTCACTCCAATAGGTCCCTAACCTCGAAAGCTCTATTAACCACCCCGCCGAATGACTCTCTCACTCTCTCGATCTGAACGAGACGGCTTTCAGCAACGGCATACATCCAGAGGATAATACCAAATAGGATGCTCCTAGTTCTTTGTTTGTGCTCACAAATAGGTGACTATAAATTAAAGGGCATATGTGCCATACACGCAGATATCAAACAAGTATGGCAGTGGTTCAATTGGATAGATGCAGGCAGGATGGGACTGCTAGGCAAACAAGTGCCAGATCCATCGCATTAGTGGCAAGATCTTCCAGATCCATGAACACCAATCTTTCTGCAACTAGATGTAAGCCATGTAATGGATTGTACTAAAACAAGACAGCAGGCAAGTTATTCCTACCACCTACAGTTACTGTTTTTCTCATCTGGTAATCTGATCATTGAGGTCAAGCAAATGCAGAAAGTAATTTAAGGAGCAGAAGGAAGCAGGTGGAATCAGTTCAGCACCAACAGCAATTCAATTGGCCAGTATGAAGCTTCAGGTAATTATATGAAGAATCAAAAGAGTGCTGCCATTTAGAAACAAATTTGAGGAATCACCCAGCAGAACAACAACTTTAAACAAGGTCACTGATTTGATTACTGACTCCAAACTGCGTTTAATTACAAAACCAAAATAAACAGATACAGAAAACCCCAATGGATCATCCAATCCCCAATTCATAGATAGTAAGCAATCCAGAACGGAGGGAGATTAAGATCGCCGCCGCCCATACACACACTCACCTCAAAACCACCGATCAAACACTCCGATCACTAACAACAAAGAACCCCAACTACCCTTTTCGCAAATTGTTCTCTTACACGTCCAACAGGTCAATCTGAAGGGGAGAAAGGGAAAGAAAGAGAGAGAAGAAAGGCCAAACCTAAAAATTTGCAACTTGGGGGGAGATCAGAAATCGAATCACCGGCGGGTGCTGTCGTAATCGACGACCTCCGAATCGGTGACGGACCTGGAGTGCTGGACGATGGACCTGCCGATGGAATTGATCCACTCCTCCTTCTCCTTCTCGGAATCTGCGACGAAATACATGGTGTCCTGATTGGTAGAGAGCTCGAAGGCGAAGGGCTTGTTGAGGACGTCCTCGGCGCCCTTAACGGTGAGGCACTTGCCGACGGCGATGACGCCGCGAGGGACGGAGCCGCGGGCGACGACGCTGTCCTTGAACCAGAGGAGCTTGCCTTGCTTGAGGATGAACCAGCGGCGTCTCCAGGTGCGGATGTACTCGCCTTGCTTGGTGAGCCAGCCGGAGCGCTCCGGGTTGGACCAGAACTCGATGTCGCTGTAGTCCTCCGGGCTCGGGTCCTGCCGGGTTATGGTTCGGAGGAGAGATTCCATCTCGGGAGTGACGACTAACCAGACCACAAGACTAGAGCCTAGCTGGGAGAGAGAGAGATAGAAGACGAACAGAAACAGACCGATGCCTTTATTGATGGTTTCGTCCACCTCATTCGATTCGATCATATCATAATCATACGCTACAGCATGATAAATTATTTCGCTCTTTTTCTTTTTCTCTATTTTTTATACTACTTTCTTACCCGGCCTATAGGCCGGAAAGTTCCATTATCATTTATATTAATTGATTTATCGATATGCTTAAACTTTTTTGAATCTTCTAGATTTTATATACTCTCATTTCGTAAGCGAGTATGCTATATGCTTATATTAAAAATTCTCAATGTTTAACACACTCATGACTTTATCAGATCCCATTTCGGATAGCATATCAAGATTTTTCAGCCAAGACACTCAGATTTATTATATTATATAACATTTAACAATTCGTGATTCTCGAGTTAAGACAATCTCTGAACCAATTATTGAAAGTTCAAATTATTGGATAAAGATACTTAATTAGTGGATTAATTTTATCTATCCGAAGTGAAAATTGACACATATCGTATCACTTACGATGATCATATTCTCTAATCATGACTCATTTTCATATGATTGTTCATGAAGTCTCGTTCGAAGATGTTATATCAAAATTTGTCTATCAAGACACTCAAATTTAGTATCTTATACATTATGTATCAATTACTAATTCTTGAAGTTTGGACTAACCCTCCACCCATGGTTGTTGTGTACATGATGATTTAGAATCTTAACCCAATACACTCACACGCACTATCAAGAGTTCCTGTCTAGATATGGTCATTTAGTGTATAATTTTCCAACTTTTTAATGTGCAATTTCCCCCCTTTTTCTTTGGTGTTTGTTCTAGAACAAAAAATTTATTACTTATCTTAGTAACTGATAAACCGTGTCTATAATGCACACG